TCCCCTTCCTATGCGTCTTCTCCACCGTCAAATCTTATCTTTCGACTTACTATCGCGCTTACAATTTTTTGACTGCATCAATAGAAATCGTCGTCAAGCGCTAGCTTAACAAACATAAAAAAATATTCATCTATATTAATATTGTAAAGTGGAAATATTTGTGTTTTTGTATATATTGAAAAGATAAAAAAACTACTATATCGATTTTAATAACTCTTTCACGATTATAAGGCCATGTAATTGCTGAGTAACATAGGCTATATTTTCTACTATTTTTTCAATTTCACGTGGACGATTTCGCGAGCAACAGCTAGTAAACAATAACTTAGGATAGACCCCCTTCCAACATAATCAACGTATCATAAGAAATAAATTACAACTGCTAAGACGTAAGGAATTAAATAAAAACTATCTGTTTCACCCTTATTAAAATAATACTCAATCAAAGCCAAAATCGCTAACCCATACATTATTTTAACACCAACTTCGTATATAATAAACATATCATGATAGAACTTTCTAGAATATACATGTGTCAGAATAACTTAGTTTTCATACATTCTTACCATAGTTTGTGGATGATGTGGTGGATGATAGTAATGCGCGGGGGACACCGGCGGGGTGGGGTAGCCCCAGTACACGAGGGGAGGGAGGGTCGGCCCCATCGCTGGGTAGTAGTACGTCAGCGGACCTATAGACAAAATTATAATTAAAATATAACCAAAAATACGTTACCAAAAGCTTTTAAATCAAACATGACAATAATAATTTATTGCTTTAAAGTATGATTGGTTGATTTTTAATCTGTTTTGAAATTAATTTTGACAGATCGATGTTTTTTGCCATGCAAATTGTTAGTCACTATTACATCCATTTTGCATACGCTTTGATTAAAATAATATTTACTAGAATAGACACCAAATAGTTTATATTAGTTTCAATTATTAACACATATTTTTGTGCGCGACATACAATTTGTTAAACCAATTGACGCGGAATGACTCAGCAATGGATGATTAAATTCCAATTCAATAACCAAACTTTACCTTGATCCCGTAAACTAAATACCCCCGTTTACCTACAAGTTATGAAAATGTTTCTCTGAATCATTGCTTTGGAAATTAAAAAAAAACTCAATATGGCGCCAAATTTGACAGATTCGTGAAAACATTTTCCCGGTATTTTGCAATACAAAAGACGTACACAGATAATGTAATATATAAATGTAATTAAAATGATAAACACTCACCAGGGTTTCAGAACGCATTAACAGTCCACCAAAGCAGTGCTCTTACACCAATACTCTGATATCGTTTGTTACACACTCCGCCGTTGCCGCCAACCACCAAGCTAGTCTGCGGACTTTACCAAACTTACGCTCGCCTAGAGACCTACCACTGCACCGGTTATTGCGATCTCAACTTTATAATTCTTTTATTAGAATTCATTATCCTTTGCTATCTATTACCCGTATAATATTAACCGTAAAAATTCAAATTAACCTCAAACAATTTGACGTCTTGT